GCGGAGTATCTGGGGAGCTGGAAGATGAGAACTGGCGACTTTGTAGTACAACTCTAGTACGCGGCTGAGTCATCTCTATTCTGTATTTTGCAAAAATGTATGAACAACGTTTTTTCCTGCGAGACAGTTGACGGTGGTTGCTTCGCTTTCGCTCTATTGGTCGGTTCCAAGTTGTTTTGTCAAAGAACATCGCAGCTCGGCGAATCAGCCTGCCACATGCCCATTTCCTATAGGCTTAATCTTTTGGAAACTTCCGCCGCCAGCTTGCCCGGGAACTACTTGTATAGGTGAAATTGGATGCTCGCTGACGCTGTCAATGGTACAGCTGGCACGCAATCGCAGGCATGTGGTTGTTGATCTCAGAACGTGGCCAATCTAGTCCTATGCAGTAGGGATGGCCTCCAATCTAACCTGGTAGCGACGTCCTCCAACCCAATAGCCATGGCCTCCAACCTGATAGCTAGCAAAGACTTCGGAGCAGATTCCGGAGCTGGTTCCAGAGGAGGTTCCACTGCTAACTTGCAGCCATGCTGTCACGCTGACGCGCTGTCTTTGCTGACATGTAATGTGATCATGGTGATATGCTGAGACGGTTTCCTTTTGGCATGTTGCATATATAGCGCTGTCGTGCGGTAACATGACGCGGTAAAGCACTGGCACTGGCATGCTGACACGATTCGCGCTAACATGCTGACGTCGGGTCACGCCGTCCCGCTGATATGCTGGCAAGCTCCAGAGCGGGTTACAGGTTCCCTGGTTCTTGCTAGTAGGAGCAAGGACGCTACTAGGGGCTCCTGGCATCGCTACTGCAAGGACGCTACTAGGGGCTCCTTGCTAGTAGGGAGGCTGGAGGCCGCAAGTAGCTTGGCGGTCCCTTGCTCGCCACATGAAAGCAAAACCCAAAAGCTTAACAATCTTGATGAGTGGTCCATGACCAAAACCAGAGCAAATAATTTGATGAGTCGGATGAATGGGGCGAACAGTTACAGAATTTCTTTAAAATGGAAATGGACTCATGCATTCTCTGGATTCACTGTAGACCGCAAAGGTGTTCACCAAGGAACCAAAGCGAAAGGAATCGGATTCACAAGGACACAAGTGGATTGTTGCATCCAGATGCAATGGCCTCCGCCACTGCGTGCAAATCAGACTAGAAACTTATCATCAGTTAAGTCATGTTAAGTCCAAGTAAGTTTAGACCACGCTAGTAGTAACAAGTGCCACGCTAGTAGGAACAAGTGCCACGCTAGTAGTAACAAGTAGTAACAATGTTCGGTTGAGTCCTTCAACGGAATTCTGTAATTACAATTCTAATTAAACTCTTATTGTTACTAGTAGTAAGGCACGTGTTTCTAATAGCTAACATTGTTACTACTAGCGTGGCACTTAATTTTAAGTCGATTGGCTCGTCTTTGTGG